CCTCCATCACACCTTCCATCCCACCTCCATCACACCTCCATCCCCTCCATCCCACCCTCATCACCTCTACCACACCTTCATCACACCTCCATCACCTCCACCCCACCCTCATCACCTCTATCACACCTCCATCACGCCCCATCACACCTCCATCACCTCTGCCACACCTCCGTCCCCTCTGTGACCTCCATGACCTTCCTCACACCTCCGTCACCTCTCCATCACCGCTGTCACACGTCCTCCGTCACGAATCCCTCACCTCCATCCCACCCTCGCCACCTCCGTCGCACCTCCATCGCCTCCCATCACACCTCCATCACCTCTGCCACACCTCCGTCCCCTCTGTGACCTCCATGACCTTCCTCACACCTCCGTCACCTCTCCATCACCGCTGTCACACGTCCTCCGTCACGAATCCCTCACCTCCATCCCACCCTCGCCACCTCCGTCGCACCTCCATCGCCTCCGTCGCACCTCCATCGCCTCCCCCCGACTCACCGGCAGAGGCACGGGCGCGTTCACCTCCTGCTTCCTCCTCGGCTCCGTTGAAGTCAGCCTTTCCCCCCCGCGGAAGCCGGAGGCTGTTTTCCTCGTTACTCGGAGGACGGAGCGGGCGGGCTGCTGGACCTTCCCGAGCTAAACGGCAGGCTGCGCCGGGGACGCCGATTAAAAACCAGATCGTCACGATAGCAGTCGGCAACAATAACGCGAAGGCGAGCGAGGTCCCGGCGGGAGGCAGGCTCCTCTTCTGGGGAGCAGCCTTTCCACGGCGCAGCCACAAAACGAAAAAGAACTCCGCGGTACGACGGGTGGCACCGTTAAAAAAGCCGCTGAGTTATTCAGCTGTCCTTTACGTCCCGGTGCCGGACGGAGTCAAATATTAACCTTTCTGCGCTTATTTCGATTTTATCCCCGTATGGGGCGAGGGCGGCTCACGCCGCGGGGCGTCCCGGGGCAGGAGCGCGGCTGTTCAGCGGCAGACCGAGAGCAGGCTGAAAGACTTCAGCGGAAGATTCCTGACGTTATGCCCCCGTTTGAGGGCTTGGCTAAATATTTGCGCCCCATGAAAATGCGCCTGTGGGGCAAGAGCCGTTTCCCCCCCCGCCGAGGCGGAAACCCCGGAGGGCTGGTCCCTGCAGGGATGCCACTTCGGGTACGCGCAGACACCAATTTTCCGTAAACTCCTTTATTGTTTGCGTGGCGATTTAATGTTTGTTGCCTTTTTTAAGGGGAGTTACGCAAAGCCTCGGAAATAATCGTGCTCCGAGGCGGGGAAGTGCGGAGCAGGCGGTGGCCCGAAGCATCCCTCCGTGGATCGCCTCCCCGAGGCTGTTTTCAAGCTATCGATTCATTTTTTGGGGGGGGTAGGAGGGCCAGTCCTGATTTTTAGTGAAATCCTGAACGGAGCCGGAGCTCAGCATCACCTCTCCACAAATCCCAGCCGAGGCTTTAGCTTCTCTGTATGCGCTATATATACTCTCTCCACTTTATATACCAGAGCCAGCACCCACGAGGACTAAAAACTCCCCCTGATGCCACTGATGTCACAGCCCCAACACTCACGGAACAACCAGCTCGTGTCCCCAGAGGAGAAATCCATATCCAACGTACCCAAGTCAGATTTTTAAGGATGAGAGAGAGGCGTGGGGGTTTT